TTAGTAGATAACTGAAGATTTGGACACGAAAATAAAGTAATCATAAAACAGTTTCTCTAAACTAAAAAGCCACCATAAACCAATAATTTACCTCTTATTGCAAAATGATGTCGTTGAAGAGACTAGTAAAAATTGGGAATGAAAGCAAATTCTGCAACATCTAGCCTAATGTGACCGAAACTTGATAGAAGAAATCAAGTCAAAAGAAGTTATATATCGGCTTATATAACCGGTAATTGCTTTTTAAAATGCATACTTTCAGGATAGGAGTGGTATTTTAAGACTGTTACAGAAGTTGTGAAGACGGCGAAGAAGAAAGAATCTAACAACTCTTCTGTAGCTACCGAGCACTAGATAGAAGCAGTGAGTTTCTTAGGTAATTATGTTCTAAAATTAAACAGCTTATACATTATTAAGACTTTAAAATGGTATATAAGTAAAAACACTTACCACTCCTGATGAACTGTGGTATCACAATGAAACCTTATGTTTTAAGTAAGTTGGTGAACTAGATCGACTGCCACAGTAAACTAACCTAATTTACCTCTTCTTTTATTTATTCATAAATGTAAAATAAAATCAAGATAATATATTAATAGCAAATATATTAATAATATATATAGAATAACAACACAATTTAGCCTATAGAGTATTATATATATTACTTAATAGCTTCATGCATTAATGCAATAAATTCTCAATTAAATAAATAAATTTAAAGCAATGAATAAGGACCAAATAAAATTTCCATATCTTGTTCAAAAAGTTTTAGTTTACTGTCTGTCTCTTTCATACTCTCCGTTGAATAAAACGCACTTATGCCAGCGCTTGATCCAATCATCGAAACGTTTTTTGTACTTAGGTTTTTATATAGCCATCAGAGCCATCTTTGTTTTTTTTTTTATTATATGTTCTCGACTTCTAAAACACGTTCCCGGAGTGCTTTCTTCTGTAGTTCGTATAGCGTATAGTTTAAAAATGTAAGTTTACAGTTTACCTATGATTTGTTGTTGTTGTTGTTGTTGTTGTTGTTGTTGTTGTTGTTGTTGTTGTTGTTGTTGTTGTTGTTGTTGTTGTTGTGATTTGAGTTAGTGCTATTGCGCACTTTTACTCAATTGTGGCTGTGGGGCTTATCCCTGCCACACACTAAACTTTACCTATACTAGAAACATTATCATTTATTTATTTTCTAACTGATGACGTACCTTAAATCAGCTTATCTTCCTGAGAGTCCAGAAGTGGACTTGAGGATTGTTAGGGCGGGGTTAAGTAGCGTATCAACTTTAGTGAATAATTTTAGCGCTCTGCCCTTGATATATTTTTTCACTGAGTCGATTCTTAGATCTCTATGCATGTCTGTTGTTCTAATATACCAAGGAATCTTAATAAGTCTTCTTAAAGCCAGATTTTGTGCTATCTGTAATTGCTTTATAGCAGTATTTGAGGCTTTACTGTAAGTTGCACATCCGTACAGTAGTGCTGGCCTAATTATTTGAGTAAATAATAACTTTCTATTTTTGAGGTTGAAGCGATTATTATTAAACAGCGACTTAAGGAAATGTAGAATTTTAGAGCAACTATTCGGAAGGACCTTTCTTGCAGGAAGCTACCGATGATATTAATCAGCCAGCTTGGGACCCCAAAATGGGCCATTTTGATTATAAGGCCATCATCCCAGACCTTGTCAAAGGACTTAGCTATGTCGAATATTATCATCCCGGTTGATTCCCGGGATAATAGAGCGGTTTGTATCAGCTGCGATGTTCTAGTTGTAGTTCCGTGGAGAAATCATCCCTAAACCCGAATTGTTCGTTCGGAAGGATATTTAGGGCGTTCACCACTAAGAGCAGCCTGATGGGACGCCAGTTCTGAGAAAATAAGGGATTCTTGTCCGGTATAGGAAACACTACAACCGAGGCCATCTTCCAAGCCTTTGGGAACTTGCCTAGCCTAAACATGCAGTTGATGATGTTAACGATGCATTGGATTGCTGATCTTAAGACTGATATGATACAGTTAATCTCATCGCTAGAGCACGGTGAGATGCTTTCATCAGGGACCTGGTTCCTAAGATTTTTTTTATAGCTAGATACAATAACCTTTTTTTTTTTGATTAACAAATTGACAAGAAATAAATTTCTTTAAAACTTTGCTAACTATATTTTTTCAGTTTTACATTGTATAGCAATCCTTCTTCAGTAAGAAATAAAATTAATAGTTAAAAGTAAAATTATTTATTCACTATAGAGCCAACCTGTCACTGTTAATTTCGGAAGTACTCGAGTTGGCTTTTAAATTATTTGAACATTTAGTGAATTATACGATAATATTACCCAATAATCACAGATATATATATTCAAATAACACTAATTGTTTAAATTTTCAATTAATACAAAATTGTTTATTTTTATTACTTTTTTTTTTGGCTTATAATAACATTTATAGAGAGTTTTAATACATTGTCATTTCAGCTGATATTATTGTAAATAAAAATCTAGAAATATACATATCCATTATGTTGATAAAATTTGTTTTATATTTTATGAATAAAAAGAAAAATAACAAATAAAAATATATATATATAGTTTATATGTATAGACATAGAAAACACCATTCGTCAATGTTTCTTTAATGTAGAAGTACGTAGAAACTAAACTCTTGCTTTAAAGTTTTCAATCAATATTTTCGTTATAATTTGGGCTCAATGACAGTTTTAGGCAGTGTGAATTTGCTTGACATTCCCAAACTTGGTCTACTTAATTTTTTGAATATCTCAAAAACTATAACGGGAAGAAATTTGGAGTCCAGAAAGTTTCGCAATGATCCACCCATTACAACACCCTAGGTGGGGTGTTTTCATGAAAAAATTTTTATTTTTAAAAGCAATTTGTCTTTTTTCCTATTACATTAATTTCTTCATTAGTTTGTTATTTATAGATAACTAAATGAAGTTTTCACAGAATTGAATTCTTCCACTTTAAGCATATAATTTTTTTTTGCAATGACCAAAAACTCATCATTTTAAGGAAATTTTTGTACGCTATAATATAATTATTAATTATAATCAAGGAAATCTACTATTTTAATAATTAGTAAAGTTAAATAAATGAAAATGTATTCAAAACCAGTAAATTTTTAATTCACTTTTTTAACTTCAATTTACCATACAATACCCAAAATACATATCCAACATTTTCCTTAATATTTTTTTTAAACTAAAATTGTTTGTTTTGGCATTTTTATGCTTATTTTAGCTCAAAAGAAATCTTTAAAAAGTTAAGCATAAATGTTCTTAAATGAACATTATTTATATAAACAATATAACCAGTAATAAATTAAATTAATTAAATAATTAATTATTAACCTCCAAAGGTTTAGAATTCATTAAATTGTTTATATTTCAAATTTAAAAGAAATCAGCCAATTCGTACCCTTCCATAACACCGTTACTGTTTAAAGTAACTCAGATCACTTTTTAATCAGAATACTGTCTCCTAGTAGAGTACAACCATTGAAAATTATATTATTTTGAACAGTTAAATTTGCTTAATCTGCAATCTTCTGAAGTTAGTATAAGAAGGCTTTTGAATACTCGATTTACAGTCTTCTGGAGTTTGTATAAGAAGTATTTTGAATACTTCATCTGCAGTCTTCTGAGGTTTATATAAGAAGTATTTTGAATACTTGATCTGCAGTATTCTGAAGTATCTCACCAATGCTAACCCACAGCGGCATATAATATTACCGGTAAGAAAATAACATTCTTCATTAACATATTGTTCGTACGCCTGATTTTATAAACGTCTATTATTAACTAGAGAGTGCAACATTGTTATTAACAAATTTGCTGTCTCACACATAGCCCATACGCAATTTGAACGTTTAGTTTAAATAAATTACTATTCTGTAAATATAAATAATTTTTTTTTTAATTTAAAATACATTTTACTACATCAATCGTATAATAATGAAAATACACACAAAATATTAAACTAAATTTACAATCATTTTCATTATACTAAAACATTTATAAAATATAATTAATCGCATGTGTACATATATATATAATAAAATTGAATTTAAAACACTTAAGGGATAAAAAAAAATTTTTTAATAAATTATTTATAAGTATTTATTTAAATAAAAAACACGCATGCATATGCAAGAAATACGTACTTCATGCCAATGTGGTAAGAGGAGGATTTAACTAAATATGCATAAAGGAATTAAAATGCCAAAGATACTTAATACCTGCAAAGCATTGAGTAAATATGTGCTTCCTGAATACTGACAAGTAATTTGTCTACACTGGAGCAAATCCATTCAGCATTATATACTTCACTCATAATTATACATACGCAGACAAACTCACGTGCTCAGTTTAAATATGCATGCAAAATAAACTTAAATATCCTTAATCCCTATATTAAGCACGAAAGCAATAAGGTCTCGGTTCACTTCCACATAAGAGCAATGCCCTAGAGTGAAGCAGCAGTTTAAAATTACTCATTTTAATTGCAAAACTGCATTGATTGTAAACAAAATTTCATAATTTTGAAGTTTAGCATCTAAAGCTAACACAGAATTAAATATTATATTGTTTTTCATGCAAATATATTAACAGATACATTATTAGATCAGAAATTTCTTTAATGAAGCGATTGCAGTCAATCAATTTCTGTATCAGCTTAAAATGAGCGCTAAAACATCTCAAAAACTTTAATTTATAATTAAAACATTAACACCAAGGGATTAACACTGAAGACCTATACGTATAATTATGGAAAAGGAATCTGTGAAAAGGAATGCTTAATATAAAACAAAAAAACTTTAAAAGTTCCCTTAAACTGATCCATCCAAATTTCTGCAATCGTAATCACATTAACATACATAGCAAGCAGATGAAAACAGAATTTTTGCACACAAAAATAGATTAAAAATAAATCATTTTAAAATATTTAAAAAAATATAAAACAAATAAAAAAATATTGAAGGTGTCAACCCACTAATACAAATATTTAAACATATAATGAGACACAAAAGTAAAAACATTTGTCCTTAAGAAAAGTCATGCCAAGTGAAGTCAAAAACATCGAGTTTAGTTTTCTTACTGTGTGATTGCAAAACCCAATCAACTTTAACTATATGTAAATAGTCAGAACTACTTTTAAAAACCTTCTTTAACCAATCCTTAAAGTCAGCTTTATTGAAACTAACCTCATCTATAAATATATACTCAATACCAGCCGTCTCAGTTTGTGCGTTTATGTTTTCTACAATTCCTCCATGTAATTGAAATTTATATTTCGCAATCTGCGAACTTAACTCATTGCTATAGAAATACGCTTTATGATTACGAAAGTAATATGGTGATTTCTTTTTATACAATTCATTTTCCAACTCTTCTACAGCCTCATCAGTTAATTCGAAAGAGTTCAACTGTAAGCAAAGAGATGTAAAAATTATTGTGAAATATGAAGTTATTGTACATAGATTTTTTTTTTCGCTTACCTCTTCTAAGGATATCTCATCGAAAAGTTCCTTTAACTCATTCGGGCCAACAAATTCAGTATATGAATCACCATATTTATCAAACATGGTTTTAAACTGTTCTCTCACTTCATCAGTTGCACATATCATATCTTTTGGCCTGAATGTCATTTCTTGTGCTTTAGTAGTTCTTAAAAGCCACAGTATGGAGACTATATTATAACGATTGGTTTTTATCATTTTGTCTATGCGATGTGTTATGTCGCCAGCGACACATATGCACCTTGAATCGGTTGGTATAGGATTTTCAACGATTTCGCCTCCATTTTCTGTGATAATGTATTTCAATTGATGTACTGTTTGGCCTTCCTTCAATGATCCACTTAATACGCAAAAACTGAAGTTACCAAATAATTCAGAACTCTGTTCAATCTTAAACAAAATAAATAAATAAAATTACTTTAATTTATAAAGATATTAAGTGATTCTTTCTATATAAACAAATAGAATTGTGATCTCACTTCAGAGTTAATAATATATAATATATTAATCTGTTGCTAAGCTTTATATACTTAAAAAAAGATTTTTGGTTGAATCGTTAATTGTAATTCTGGTAAATTATTTATAAAAAAAATAAAATATTTGTGTTATTCGATTCAAACTTATTTTAGATTTTAATCGTCACAAAACTGGTAGCAAACTTATATATTTAATATATTTAATGATACATTTATTATAACATTGCTGAGATATTGACTTTGTGCAGTATGTAATTAGAAAAACTCTATATTATATTATGGAAGAAGAGTTAGACTCTGGTCTGATAAAGATTTTTACTAAAATAATGTATTAACTAACAGTTTATAGACATGCTACAATTAATATGTACTTTACACTCTTTAAACAGCTCCGTACTATATATTTCTCATATTGTCATTCAATATATGGAATAGATTGAGTACATTACCCAAAGTGAAAGCAAGCTGACGACGAAACATAGAGATAACAATATTGTAAAACTACATTGAAG